TGCACCCTTCAGCCCTCTGTATGTTAATGTTGTCAAGGGTTTCCACCGAGTTCATGATTACACAAAGAACATTTTTGTAATTTGTAAATGCCAATATCAGGAGATCCGGTTTCATCCAACCCACTGATTGAAATAGCCGAGCAGTCTGTGAGCCTGGGCAAGCCAGAAAACTTTCCGTCTTATGGCTGGGACAACGAATATGGGCAGTGGAACGTCAAGTGAGTTTGGGTGTGACGTACATCATACGGTACTGCATGTTCAAAATCAGATCATAATCCTAACAGTTCTTGAGAACTGTACAATTAGCAACCACTTTAAGTAAAGTGGCAAAGTAGCCATGATATTTGAGTCTTTCCTGGGATTCCAACCCTGGTCAACCTTTGCAGTCAGACAGAGCAAGCAAAGCAAAGTCAAAATTACTGCATGTCCATGTAAATGACCCAGAAAGGATGACTTTAATCTCCGACACTTGTAAAGGAAAATTACGTACATGTACAGTGTACTGCTGTCATGTAAATAATAAATTTTGTGATTGGTGCCAAAGCTTGGCTGATACAATCTTCATGACAAAACTTACAGGTACAGAAAACCAAAGTACACAAATTAAACCTGTAACTAAGAAATGATTACATGCGTGCACCACACTGGATTATAGAATATATACGCACATTAACACACTGATCATAACACGTAAATTCCTTGGCTAGTAAGCAAAAACAACTTGGAGGAATGATCTAAACTAGTAGAGATGAAATAATTATTGATCCAAAGTTCGCTTTGCATTCAGTGGAACTTTTGTTATGCAATGCAGCATGAATTATTATTTACTGTATGAAAATGAAGTTCTCTTTTAATATATATTTTTTTGACATGTAGCGATTGCATGAAGCCTTTAACATTGTGTACATGTATGAGACATATTTCGTCTGGTTCTTTGCAGGGTTCCTTCATTCAAGGCTTCAAAGTACTTGATTACTAACCGCGAATACTTGGAGTTTGTGAACAGCGGAGAGTATGAAAATTCCAAGTATTGGACTAAAGAAGGTAAGAATCACTTTCCGCAGCGGGATTCACTCAGTCGGTAAAGGGATTGGCGGCAGAGCGGGTGGTCGTGGGTTCCATTCTCGGGTTGTCCTTGTACGGGAGTCGGGATTTCCAGAATCTGGGAATTTTTGCTTATGGAATCGAGAATCCGGGGAAAATTTTGCTTGTGAAATCCAGAATCCTGGGCTTTGGAGTTCGGAATACAGCTTAAGAAATCCGGAATCCCACTAACAATTGTAATCCAGATTCCAAGTTCCACTGATAAAGACTGGAATCCAGTACCTGGAATCCGGAATCCACTAAGTGGAATCCAGAATCCAAGACTGTTTTGGATCCCCTCAGATGGGGTGACCCAGGACCGGACCAATACTCAGGTCTTAAAATAACTGAGAAATGAAGTTGAGCGAGATTCAACTTAAACGTTTTTGCGCGACCTTTCATACATTGCCTCTATTTTATTTGCGAACGTACGTTTTATGCACGTACGCACTTAAAAATTGCGCGACAGTGGAAATCCACAATCCACCCCAAGGCGTGCTGAAAGTTGGCGAATCGCGCTTTCCGGGTAGCAATCAAATCCCTGGGGAGCTCGTCGCCTTCGGCCACCCGGGATTTCTCCCCCAAACGATAACTCCTGCATAGAACCCTGGCTATCTCTTATTCCTCGCGTCCGAGCCCGTGGTAGAAGGTCTCCGACCCACATCGTTTTGTCCTTCCAAGGTTGGCGGTGGAAACAGTTCCGTCAGATTCACCATCCAAGTTTTTGGGTCTGCAGCAATCAATGCAAATCCGGCTGCGGCTCGGACTTGGCAACTTACTCCCATTGCAACCTGGGATTGACAGATGTCAATCATAATCCGTTGCTGGGAAACGGAGCTCTAAATGGAGTTTCAAATGGCTCCATAAACGGCGACCATCATGATGGGTTTGCCAATGGTGTCCTGAATGGACATGGAAATGGAACAGTCAATGGCGCCATGAATGGGACTTGTGTGAATGGTTCGCCTAATGGTCATGTCGTGAACGGTGACCACGATGAGTTGGAATGTCCCTACAGGTGAGTGTCGTTTTTCTAAATATAGCAGTACGCATATTCGTATACTCAAATCTGAAGATTCTTCAAAAAGCTATTTCTACTTGTTTATCTAGGCGATTTTTTTGAAAATGAACCCAATGAAATTTGCAGTTGAAGTGTAATAGGCGGGTAATTTGCGCCCTATAAGCTTGAAAATTATACCAGCAAAGGAAAAGGAACGGAGAAAAAAAAAGCGAGGAGGAAGAAAGATCTTAAGAGGAGAAGAGAAAAAAGCAATGGTTGCACTTTTAGTTTTTATAATGGCTACTTTGAGAACAAAAAAACTGTCTGACGGAAGAGGTCAATTTGGTAGTAACGTTTCCTAATTCTAGCTAGGTATTTTGCGCCCTACTAAGTTAAAAGTTACACCAACAAAGGAAAAGGAAAGGAGAAAAAGAAAGAGCGCAGAGGAAGAAAGGAGGAGAAGAGAAAAAAAAGCAATGGTTGCACTCTTAGTTTTATTATGGCTACTTTGACAACAAAAAAACTGTTCGACGGAAGAGGTCAATTTGGCGGGAACGTTTTCAAAAATTCAGCTAAATATAAAAAAAATACTGATAAAAAGGTTAAATTTAAACAATCACACGCTAGGATCTGGTCCACAGAGGAATTAAAGCTGACCTAAATGCCTCCATAGCTACTTTAAAATTAAAAAGGTTGATCAGATCTTGCCCTTCTCTGTCCACACAGGTACCGTGCTATGTTTGAAGTAATAGACATGCCTATGGATTGGCCTGCTGAAGTGAACTATCACGAGGCCAAAGCTTACTGTACCTGGAAGGGTCCAGAATTCCGTCTGCCGACGGAGGCCGAGCATCATGTTATACGGGGACCTCAGGTACAGGACAAAGCAATTGAGTCTTCTACATGCAATCTCTCCTATGACCTTTACGTTTGATTTCACAGAAACAAGTCGATTGTCGCTATTACATAGAATAGTTGATGTTGGTGCAATTAACAAATGGACACAAATTTTCCTCAACAGGAATCTCCTTTAGTTGGAACCTCGTGTAATATTATCTACCAGGATAAAATAGAAGCCAACATCAACATGGCATATGGTTCTTCAACTGTGAGTTGTTCATCTTTCTGTCTCCTTTAAACAGTACTGCCGTCTCCGTTGTCATCATAATCCCCATCATCAACTTCATCATCGTCATCATCATCATTGTCAACATCATCACCATCATCATCATCATCATCATCATCATCATCATCATCATTATCTTCACCATAATCATCATCATAATGATCATCATCATCATCGTAATTACCATTATCATCATCGTCATCTTCAGTTTCATCTTATCCTCATCGTACACACACATAAGGGCCATACGCATGAAAATTTGTGGGTGCTCGTTGCATCCATCATAAGCAGTTCAATATGTAACGTTTATGTTTACTGACACAAATATTCACGAAATTAGAACTAGACCTAGTACGAAACAATATTTCACTGAAATACAGGAAAATTAATCTTACAATGGCCTTCGTTCCAGCTTCAGGAATTACGAAGCGAAAGCCTAAAATGGCGACAAGTATTATAAAATTCTACAAGATTTATGAAATATTTATCGCGACACTGAAAGTCTAATCATGACTTTCTTCCAAGATCGGGAGCGAGCAATGTTATTTTTGTTTGAAATGTTTCAGCCCGTTAACATATACCCACCGACGCAGGCTGGCTTTTGTGACGTGTTTGGAAATGTGTGGGAGTGGGTGGAAGATCATGTCAATGGCTTTTGTGGGTTTAAATCGCATATGCTCTATGACGACTTTTCTACGCCCTTTTTTGATTGAAAGCACAACATGATCATGGTACGTAGAGCCTCAAATATATAGGAATTGAGTTGTTTACCTCTTGAAGTACTGTCCACTTGTTTTGTGTACTCGACAAAGCGTTACCTTTGATATTATAAGTTCCTAGCTGTCAGCAATAGAGAGGAGGAGTCGTTACGTCACGTTGTCATGGAAGCAAAATTTCTGGATCTCAACACACCGTGGTCCTGCAAATATGGCAGGAAAAACGAAAAAAATTGACATGTATGCAGGGCTGTCATTAAGAGGCGGGGGTTGGGGATTTCCCTCGGCTACTTCATAGGAAAATAGAAGAAAAATAGAACCAAAAGAAATCCCTAGCTGGTTCAATAGGCCATTTCCGAGTTCCAAAAAATCTCACTTTCAAAGCGAGACTAAGTGCGAAACTTTTGTTGTGAAAATGAGTTTTAATTATGATGCAAATAAAACTTATTTTCACAACAAAGGTTTCGCACTTAGCCTCGTTTTGAAAGTGTAATTTTTTTTGGAACTCGGAAATGGCCTAGTCCTCGCTTACTTGTTGTATTTACCTGGTAACTTGAGATCTTAGTGACAGCCCTATGTATGACTTTCCTGTGCATGATTGCACTCAGGAACAAAACGGTAGCCCATTCTTTTTTTCCATCGTTCCACAATGAAAGTGGCTGTCTCTCTCAAGAAAGATTGTTGAGATCCAGAACTTTTGCTACCATGGTAACGTGACATCACACTTCTCCTCCATATAGGCCAATCACTTGAAGCTGCGGTTTACACCTTTACCATCTTGCGTAAAAAATATTAACCGTTAGACCGTTAAAGTAGAAGCCTATTGGTCAAATTTGAGGTTGTGCTTCTCACGTCGAGATTAGGTCGGTGTTGTGTCAAAATGCACTGTGGGACTGTTTTGGGGGAGGAATCTTGACCCAGATTCCTTTGCAACTTTATGACTAGCCAATGAATGAAGTGATAGCGTTAATCAACAGTCCCATCGTGCAGTGCGGCACAACGCAGACCCAGTCTCTTACTGAGCGGAAAAATGTCTTTTTACAAATTAGGTTCATTTTCCGCCAGTCAAAGAAAAATGCTTTTCGCTCACAAGCTTACAGAACCATCTTAAGGCCTTTCTCAAATGACACTATTTGTCACGTGACTTAAGGTAATTCACGTGACGAATTTCTCCGTACAGGACTGAAAGCTGGTGCCTCAGAGCTCTCGGGCCTTTCTTGTTAGCATGATTTTATGGCCGATTGATTTTCATTTCTAGGGTGGCAGCTGGGTATCTACCGGAGTCGAAGCTTCACGATTCACCCGTTTTTGGTTTCGCCGCCATTTCTTTCAGCATCTTGGTTTTCGATTGGCTCAGTCAGTTTCTAACAGTCCTCCGGTGCGTCTGGTAGGAACCCCTGTTTTTGTGCTGGGGGTTGGGGTGGAAGGTAAGCAGAAGGGTAGCACTAGGGGAGGGGTAAGTGAGTACTCTTAAACTAGAGAGTGTTCTTGACAGGACTACACCCGATTTATACAGTTAAATAAAAACCTTTGAATGCAGAGATCCACTCAACGCCTAGGTAAAACCGATCGGTTCCCTCTTGCCGGATCTCCAACGTATAGATGCTAGAGCCAGAAGTCACTTGAAGTGGGAATTAAAACAAAACTAAATGCAAGGCTGGCAATACGGCAAAGGGCTGATTCATTTGGGGCCAATATTTCGGCTAACAAAATTAGCCTTCCTCAGGGCCAGAGCTTCACTGAAGAAAAGGCCATAATGCAGTACATATTGCCAGCCTTGCATTCAGTTTTGTTTTTGCAGTTTAATCCAGCTATAAGTATGGTTACTCTCGAGGATTAGTTTCTAAAGAAACTTTTTTGTTTCGTCCCTGAGAGAATGAATGAGGTTTTAGTTGTCTAATGCGTTGACAAGCGCTTGATCGTCTTTACAGTGGGTTTTCTACCTTAGCAACTTATAGGTGTGCCAAGTCTCTTCCCTGCGTGAGATGCCAATTCATTCCATGGTTAGCAAAATTCAGAGATGTTGTCTTTCTGATGTATCCAGTTATTTGCACATTAACACTGCCAAAAGTGGCTGCTATAAAAAGCTGTTTGGTCCTTTTTATGCTTCAAAACCGAACCAAACTAACGTTATTTAGCGAGGAGGACTTTCAGCAAACTCTTCCTTTGGAGCAGTCGCGAGAAGTCACGCGCGAGTGGCACACGAAAGGAGAAGCGAAAGCGAAGGGCTGTCTTTTCCTCCACCCCTCACAGCTTTGCCGTTCGTTCGCACGTTTTCTCGCGGCCCGTTTCGCTCGCAGAAAATGGAGAGCTTGCTCGCAGGCTAGAAACTTGACAGTGGCTCTCTAAGTGACCCCAACAAAGTGGACACTTTCAGATATCGACTTTTGATTTGGACGTGTCGAGTTTTGTTGGAAGGGGAAACGGTAGCACTCGGAGAAACACCTCTTGGAGCGGCGAGAACTAACAACAAACCCAACCCATGTATGGTGTCGACGCCTGGCCTCTACCCCAGTCCACGTTGATGGGTGGTGAGTGCTCTTTCCTCTGCGCCTTCCCTGCTCTCCCCTCCCCTCCCCCAAAAAAGCACTTGTAAGATTTAGTTTTTTTCTTTTTTTTTTTTTTTTTTACAGAGAACCCTATCAGTTTGCCCGGCATCGGCGACAGCGAGGTATACGTCAGCACTTCAAACATGCAGTACCATGATGATGCCGAGGATTTTCTGTACTCTGAAGTGTTGTCTAACTATGGTGACCTGCTGGTGGGTTTCAGTAGCCTTGCAGTTCTTCAAAACCTTATTTGGGTCCCTATATGTCGCAACTCATTTAATTTCTGGCTAGGTTACATTGTAAACTTTTTTTGTTCATGGTTTTCCTAATCAATCCCGTGAGGTCTTCCGACGGCTGCAAGGTTGCCTGTGGGTTTGCACTTTTTTTTCTTTTTTCCTGAAAATAGCCTTCTACTTTTGACCAGCAATAATATGAACGGGGTTCTCATTAGAGATGCCGTGCAAACATGTCAAGCGAAAATAGGACGCGCGGGATCTGGGGAAGGGGGCGGTTGCGCCTCCTCTTTCCCCAGTCCCCGGGTGTTTTTCGCATCAGTTTTAACGATCTCTGCACATTACTTTCTTGGAGCCTGGAACAGGCTCCTCTAGATCGGTGAAGGAGTGGAGAAATGAAGGGAGAAGTCATGATCACAGGCTAAGTTGGCCGTGCATCTCGCCAGTTCGGGCCCTTAACCTCGTTATATGGTCACATAAGGTCACCCTGACACCTAATTCTGTCACAAAGTGTTTTGGTTTCAATACCATCATGCTAGTCACGCAAGTAAAGCTTAGTCCGCTTCAATTGACCATGTAATGCTAGTCACGCCAATTGGTTGCATGTGATGAAAGTCACAGCAATTCGTAATACATGGTAACGTTAAGTCACTATTCCAGCTTTTCTGGACTCTTCAACACTTTTTTTCGCTACATTTACCACTTTAATTTCGCTGTCGTGATTTGTTGCTTATAAATCTCCTGGATTAAGTACAGTCACTCGAAGTTGATCTCATTATTTTTGCATATCGTTAACAGGGTGTTGAAAGTGACGCCGGTTGCTGTGAGCAGCTTGCAGAGATTTGCAAAGAAGCCATTCACAAACACAATGGCTGCCCCGCGAAGAAGGCCCTTGACATTATGTGCTCTGTGGGTCGATTCTCCTACGAGCTGAGCAAGAGCTTGAATAAGGTAACCACAAAGTCATCGCTCGTTTCACACTTCTTTTCGATTAGTTGAATCCTTTCAAAGATTTAGATGTTCTACTTGACAAGACAGTCTTTGATTCTGGATTTAAAGCCTTGGATTCCGGATCCCAGGTACTGGGTCCCAGTCTTTATAAGTGAAATTTGGATTCTGGATTCCAATCGTTAGTAGCATTCCGGAATCCAGAGCCCAGGATTCCGGATTCCACAAGCAAACTTTTCACCAATTCCGGTATGCGGATTCCCTTACATGGTGCGATACTTGTCGTAGTAGAGCAAGCGACAGCGGTGTAGTTGAGGGCTTTGTTACATGCTCAACGGCGTAACCTACTTGCAATTCCGTCGGCAAACAAGTTTTGCACACTGACATTCTGAAACTTTTTCCCTCAACTATCGTTGTTAGCTGACAATTCCACAGATAGCAGGGCGTAGTATTCGTGTTTCGCAATGGCATCTCACGCAAGGTTTAGAACGGTTTCAGCGTGCAACCGATAATACTACTTAATTTCTTCTATTTCTGGTGATGCCTGACCAGTTGACTGGGAGGAGTTGAGTGGGGGAGAATTCAGTTCCGGTCAACACGTTTTAACGAAATAGATGTACAGAAATTGCCGGGTTCTATCCAGGTTAAATCAAATCGTACGTCGAACTAATGAACTTAAATCGAGTAGTGTTTGTGTAGCGTGAAGTTGAAGGTTGACGCGGGTCTTAGCAGAGACTTTTAGGTTCAGAGACAAGGACGAAATTTTCTCAGTACTGAGTATTGCGTGCGCGTGAACCAGCGTCATTTTGGCGGGAAAAGGTGATAGCCGTCGTCTTTCTACTACGAGTTTTAGCGAGAATGTCATAGTGAAGGAAACAAGTTATCAAGTGTTAGAAGTTTTATTATTCTGCGATCAGAAAGGGCTTAGCCTCGTTCAATAAAAATAACCGTGTTGACTTTTCTGGTTAAAAAAAGAAAAAATGTGGCTTTCTGGGGAACAAAACTTTAAGTCAAATCTCGTCTCTACTTCTAAATTTTTCTCGACACTTCTATGAGGGTCCTTAAGAGGTTTTTCGGGATTCGGGATTTAAAACCAATTTTTTTTTTTGGGGGGGGGGGGGGGGGGGGTTAGGGTTAGGTAATTTGGGGGGGGGGGGTGGGGGTGAGATTCAGGATTGAAAGTGAGCACGGGTTGCAGGATGCCTAAGTTTATAACTATCGGTATAACGGGATTGAAGAAGACAATTTGGGTCCGGGATGAAGGGATTGAAGACCCTATTGCGACCCTCTTCTATCTCCTGTGACAGGTGATCGCTATCGACCACGGTGGACGTTTGCTGGACGCTGCTATGAAGATTCAGCAGGGTAAATCGCTAGAGATCAAGGGCGCTAGAGATTTACCTTTCGTGAATATTCCGCTTGACGAGATCAAGGCTAATGTTGATCGAGTGCAGTTTCAGCAGGTTTGTCTAATGGTGATGTTTAAAATGGTCTCTTACGCAGCCACTTTTGTGTCGTCACGCAACACACCTGAGGAGCCTTGCGTGACGACACAATGAACGGGGACTAATTTTTGAACTGTATTGTTTAAACGAATTGTTTAACATCGCCACAAAACTTGATGTTTAAAGTTTAACAGCTGAATGTTCACACTGCTATTGGGAATTCTAAGGAGGACTGTTAAAGAAACGTTTCAATGTAGCCCTCGCTTCGTAGTGAAACATTTCATCGATGGCAGACGCGAAGTTTAAAATGATAAAATGCGCGAAATGTTTGCCAAACAAATTTCTGGTTTGGCTAATATTTTGACCTGCCAGAAATCGGTGTCCTTCATAAAAGAAAAAATATATATATCGTAGCCCTTACTTTTCACCAGACCTCCCCTCGTAATGCCGCGTACACCTCGCTCTGCTCATAAAGCTATCAGAACCTTGCAAAGAAACGCCTAGCGTGTTCCGAAAATAGAAGCTGTTTCTTGTTGAAGTATTTTTATTTCCCGTTTGTTATTTTCTTTTGCAGTTTACCTGGCTTCCAAATGAGATTGGTGTTTATGATTTGATCGTTATGTTAAGTCTTCAACGTCTGTCGAATCGTAAAGGTAAGAGGCTTTAGATCATTATACTTGTCTGGGAAACTGCCCACCTACCCCTCCCCTAAGCCAACATGAACACTTATTTCTCACTTAGGGGCAAAATGTTGGCTTAGGGAAGGGGACACAGTTTAGTTGCCCGAAATGCTGGAAACATTCTTCGAAAAGATTCTTGGAAACCAAAGGTTCCTTTTTTTTCTTTGTTGATTGATATCGTTGACTTTGTTCCTTGACTTAAAAAGTCGATTCAGAAGAACATCTTGTTCTTCACAAACTAAATTACTTTTTGTATTGTCTTCTTTTCGCTTCAAAGCAAATGTTTCTCACTACAAAGAGACTTATAATATCTTTATTTACGGGTGTACGTATTAATATTTTACTTGCGTTTTTCTGTCTTTTAAGCATGGTTGGTGCGCCTGTGGGAAATAATGAACTCTGGAGGCATACTTATAATCAAGATCAATGTATCTTGGGACCTGGAATCTCTGCGAGCTGTTATGGGGGCTAAGTAAGTATGATGAAATCTGGCAACTTCTGTACTTCTCTTCTCTTCTCTTCTCTTCTCTCCTCTTCTCTTCTCTTCTCTTCTCTTCTCTTCTCTTCTCTTCTCTTCTCTTCTCTTCTCTTCTCTTTACCTTAATTTGGCGAGCGAGACTGGGTCAGCACTTTGCTAAATTGCACCATGGGACTGTTTTGGAGGCGTAATCGCTTCATTGTGTGGCTATTACGAGGTTGCGCCGAAAACTGGGTCAAAAGGCGTCCCCCAAAACAGTCCAATAATACAGTTCGAATCAACCTCGGCCCAGTTGCACGAGCCAATAGGTTATTTGCACGATGACGTCATTTTACTACTACAACCAGAATCCTTCAGGGTTTTGCTCTCTTGTGCAAATTAAGGCTTTTATTATTTAAACCTCGCTTGGAATGCCAAATTTCAATATGAAAAGAAAAACGAAAAGGATTCTGGTCGTAGTAGTAAAGTGACGGCATCATGCAAATGCTCTATTCACGCTGGGGACTGTCCACAACTTTGCATGCGTTTATAAACACTATCTCGTGAGTCGATTTTTTTAACGTACGAAGCTGTCTTGAAATTGAAGAAAAACCTCAGAATAATGTGTGTAGTTAAAATTAGAAAGATGCCTAAAAGTTTATTTTAAACTATAACGAAATATGAATGGTTTAGTATGGGAGTGATAAACGTGGATTGAAAACGGCAAATTTGAAAGGTGGCCGAAACCGTGGCGAAATTCCCTGCTCTTTGCCACTTCCAACTCTTTTTGAGGTATCAATCCGAAGTCGCGACTTTAAATCTCGCTTTTGAGTGAATATTCGCGCGCGTGCAGGTCGCTGACCTAAAATCTTTTGAAACTTTTTTTTGGCCGTTGTTTATTCTATGTCCTATCAAATGTCTCATTTCATCCTTGTCCTCCTTCTTTTAAGGTTCGAACTCTTGGAAACCCGTTTGGTCTCCAGCAAAGAGAGGGACTGCGCAAGTCTGATATGTGTCACTCAAGTGTCACTATCTGGCGTTTAATGCATTAAATCAGCTTCCAAGGTGAACCATTGTGAGAGATAAATGCTCTAAAAGGGTCAAACGATTTCTTTATTTAGCAATATTAAAAAAGAGGGCGTAAACTGAACTTCGAAAAAGAAAACCTGCATTCATCCTCTGTTCCCCTCGAAAATGGTAGGGGCAAGAAAAAGCCCTGGGCACTAGATTGAACATGACCAGGATGTAGCTTTGAATGTGCGCAGTCTCTGTAGCAGCCTACAACACAATTAACAAATGCGTTGTTTAAACATAACTGTTAAAATGGGGCTTTGGCTTTGGTTAGAACTCCAAGAGTGTCAACTTAGAGCTTTGCTCTATAGTACTCGAAGCAAAGGGGACAACACATTTTTAAGATCCATCGACAAAAACTGAATCTCATGACCCGACAATTTTTATGACCCGATATCATTTCCTCCATGGTTCACCATACCCACTTTCGTGTCGCTAATATTGAGCATTTTTCTATCGTTTTTTTTTTCAAGCCGATAAAAAACTCTAGGGAACAGTAATTGTACCGCTATTATGGACAGCACCCTAGTGCTTTTAGTCTAAAACTAGATTTATAAGTCGTATAACCTAGGGACGACCCAAATATAATTAATATAATATATAAAAGTAATCAATTTAGATACAATAGGTAGTGTAATTAGTTCAATGCTGTCTGTTATCATGTAGTCGCTAAAAGTGCTCATGTAATCGCCTAAAATTTGGATCGTGCAGTTTGCGATGTATTTGTGACTCGTAAGACGAAGCGTGATGTCGCAAACAATAAAATAT